GTTGACGATTTCCATTTCCTCGTTGTACCCTCGGACGGTTGAGTCGAGATTTAACGGGTAGCGGTAATGGCGACTGTACTCCACTTTCCACTTGCCCATGATCCACTGAAACGGTTCCAAGGACGGGGGCAGTGGGTTAACCGTTTTAACTGAAATCGTTTAATCGTTCATTTCGCCTTCGATATAAACTTAATGGCAAGACAAGAGCCGCATTTGGCTGCGTCATTCGACGCTTACCTGTGAGGTTCGAGAAACGGCATTGCTTGCAGGTGACCGCGCAGTTGATGTCGAAGAACTTAGTCGCTGGCCGCATCGACTCGCATCGGTCCTGTTCTCCCCAGAACTCGCAACTGCCGTAAATATCCTGGCATGGCCCTGAAAAGTTTCGTGTCGAAAATCAGCACTCATGCGACGAACGTCCCCCTCGGCGTCCGGTGTCTACTGTGGCTTACGCTGACAACGTTCACCCATGTAGCCGATCGGGCAGATGCACGTAAATCCGCCGATGTTGTTGATGCACGTCGCCTTGTTTTCGCATGGATTTTCGGCGCATTCGTTGATAGCTATCGAAGAACAAAAGTACAGTACGGCTTATACCACATGCTACCGTATCGAGTACTGACTGTGCTCGCAGGAGTGCCCGCTGAATCCGGGCAAACACGCGCAGTGCAGACCGGAGTCATCGATCACACACGTCCCGCCGTTCAGACACCTCGAGCTTGGGCACTGTCCTGACAAAGACGCGGAAAGGTCAAAACTCAAACGTAAAGCACAAAACTGTCATGCATACTGTCGCAATATTTGCCTCCGTAGTTCAGATCACACTGACACGTGTAGCCTTTGGCGCCATTTATGCAAATGCCCTTTTTGCACTTATGGTGGTGGCAGTAGTTTCTCTCTGAAACGAGAAACACCCCGCGGTTAGATTGGGTGGTCACAGAAACAAACGGCCACCCTCGTTGGCCTCCGCACCTACTTTCACACGTTGCACCGGTCCACTGTGGAGTACAGATGCACTCGTACTGTTCGGCGGATAGCATGTTACGGCAGGTGGCTCCGTTTTTGCACGGCTTATCGGCACACCAGTCGTAGACTACAAAACGAATGGAAATTACTTTTATTAATTTATGCCGATGG